CCTGTCTAGTATAAATAGCAGAGGTGTAGGTCATTGTGTTGTTGTTGATGCCATTGCGTTTACAGAGTGTTCAATCGAGTTGTACCTGACGTTTTTCTGAATATAAACGTGTGCAAGCTCGATTTCTTTTCTTCTTATTCTTCAATCTGTGATTGTTTGTTGCTTGATCATTGGTAAAGATCCTTTTCAGGACCTTACAGAGGTTGAAGATAAGAAACGTTTTGAGGCTATAATGGCCTTTAAATAGGGTGAAAACCCTAAAAATTAGGGTTTGTCCTCTGCGTGCGAACGCCTGTCGTCCACAAACTTATGCTTAGCGTTCCATTCCCAACACCTGGAATTTGGGACCAAAATGCATAGTTAATACAAAGCAAGGCCAACAATGCAAATACCTAGAAACCAGCGTTACAAATCCACTACAATGAAGTTTTGATCACTTGGAGTTGATGATGATGTCATTCTTCAAAGATGATGGAAGGAGACGAAGAATTGGTGCCCTAATCGAGTTTGCGGACCAAATGTGATTTCGACCTATATGTTAATGAGGGAGCAATCCACGTCATTTCCACTTAATACTTCTTTTATATGTATTAAAATACAAACCTGTGAAACCGGCTAAAAGCGTTCATAAGGGTAACATTTACACGTTTCAACAAGTTTAAGGGTTAATAAAGCACAAAAAAACAAATTAGAGACTAAATGTAACCAAAAGCTAAAGTATGTTACCTCTCAAGTCATTATCCCTTAATATATTATATGATTAATATATTAATTAGAAATAGTTAATAATTAATTATGACTTAATCAGAAATAGTTAGAATTAATTAATTATTGATCAGAATTAATCTGAAAGGAACCGACCCAAACCCAAGAAACCGACCCGATATACATATTACTAATTATTTAATATATTTTTAATAAATGTTATATGGTTTATTAAAAAATAATTATAAAAAGTTTCAAAACCTTAATCATGCTGTTTAGTAACACTCATCTCATCTCTCTCTTTCAGCCTCGCATAATTATTACTTCTCACTTTCTTAGCTTCTCGAATTCTCTCTAGAACCCTTGAATCTAATATCGGGTTTAATTTTTACTTAACATTTTGTGATTGTTTTTTCTGATTTAGCTTATGTAACCCCTAAATTCTTTTATTTATATGGATTGGTTGTGTTTAGAACTTCATTGGGGGCATGTTTCATTTTATTTAATATTGCTGGAAAATTGGTTAAAACACCAAACCCACAAGTTTAAACCCATAACACATCCACTCATAGGTTGAACCCAAAAACCAACCCACAAAACCGAAAACTAAACTCATTCAAAAACCAAACCTTTCAAAACCCAAAAACTGAACTTATCGGTTTGGGTTTAGCTTTACCCCGAAACCAACCAAATCGACCCATACTCGGGCCTAACAAATGTGGTAGACGGTGTTTGAGAATGGAAAATCGAATAAAGCCCTTAGGTTGCGTTTAGTTACGGAAAAACAGTTTTCATTTTCTGTTTTTCGTTTTCCCTTTTCAGTTTTCATTTTTCGTTTTCGGCTTTCATTGGAAAATTTAGAAAACGCGTTTAGTTAAAACTTATTCATTTTTCATTTTCAGTTTTAGAA